TGAGACCGTCACCTTCTGTACCAACCTGTTGGTGCCCTCGGTGGACTTCATCGAAATCGATGGTCGAACATTTTATCGCACACGAAAATTGCCCATGGGAAGAGCCGTCCTTTCAGTTCCAGTGTTGTGGGTAAACTTCTTGCTGTCAGTGTGGAGCGGTCCAACTGATGAATATGAAAAACAGGGTTAGTCTGATGGGATTCAGCATGTTAGTGCAGTTATTAATGTTAGCCAGTGGTATTATTTGATGTTTATTAGGAAAAAGTTGTCACGGTGGGGGGCGGGGGGTGAGAGCCGGTGAGCTGCCTTTTAAGCATGGCTGCATCAGGGAACTCACGTGCCAGACTGTTTTCAAGTCTCTGTCGAAAATGGTCGCAAGTGCGGCCTTCTTCCTCGTCGCCCTCGTTCACGAAAAAAAGGTGGGTCAGGTAAGGACTAATATTCTCAGCTGTTTCCTCGTAGTCCCGTGCATTTTCCTCCTCCTCCTCCTCCTCCTCCTCCTCCTCCTCTGTATCTTTCTTCTCATCGTCATCTGCCTTCTCCTCGTTCACACTCACGGTTTCACCCTGCAGGTATAATAGCGTCATCGCAAATAGAAACTGGGGGTCCTGTTGTTTGAAGCTTTGAAAGCGCATTTGGTTCAAGCTCCCAAACTCTCCACTTGAACCAGCTGAGCCTACAGCTTGCTAAAATGGTAACTTCTAAATTGAACGTGAGTACAGTCTGCTTCAATGCGTGGTTCACTGAGTCATCACTTAGCTATGCTCTGCCTAGTGTAGCTGCAATAAAAAGTGAAAAGCTGTGAAAAACCATCGTCTTATACCTGGGTGTATTTGCTGTGGGTACCAAACGGGAGTCAAAACGGCGCTCATTAATTAATGGTCTCAGCTAAATCACTTGCGTAATTATTGAGCATACTGGCAGAAAAGTTCCCAGTTAAGCGTCCAGACAAGTGTCTGTGGCACCGCTTTGCACAACTGCGGGAAGTCTGACTCGTCAGTGGGTCCCCAACTATTTACTGTGTAATTTCTGGCATATACTCTAGGTTCTAAATTTTAGCTTTTAACTCTGTCTCAGTAATTTATTAATAACGCAGAGGTTAGCATATTCAGATATCTATACGCGTAGCCCAAAATTTAATATGAACGAAGTCCATTAACCCCTGCAGGATAACCGCGTAATATTCACAAGTTGCCATCAGGAAGTCGGTAGTATTGTACTGGGCGTTAGCGCCACTGTGGGAACCCGTGCGGAATACTGGCACCCTGTCCGTCTCTCGCTCAATGGTCTGAGCGACTTACTAACACGCCCAGTCTCGCCTACGGCAACACTGCGCCCACCTCGCGTGGTGCAACCAATCACCACCAGTCTGCCGAGACAAAACGAGCATTCGGCGGCCACCCAGGATGACTGCCATG